CCTTGCATTCGACAAGGCCCATTTCCATTGTATCCGAATGGATTGACATTATGCCTCCACAAAATCTACTCGCGCCTTCATCGAGAGATGTCGCATCCTTCCCAGTTACGCATTGCGTGGGAGGGTTCGCTTAAAATCTGCTCGACCCAAAATGACCTCGCCTTAGTTTCTGAAACATAACCTGAAATCTTTTAGACTCTGGAATTAAGAAAATAACACATGTCTGCAAAATGGCTGCTGGTATTTTAGGTGACGGATTAGAATGATTCCTTTACTTTTTAGGCTAAAGAGCCATACCTCTCTTCCTCTCTCCCTCCCCTCCTCTTCCCTCCCTATCTCCTTGTGTGCGTGTTTGTGCGTGTGTCTGTGAGCGTGTGTGTGCTGTGTCGTCTGTCTGTCTGTGGTGTGTGTCTGTGTGGGTGTGTCTGTGGATGTGTGGATGTGGGTGTGTGTGTGTGATGTGCGTGTGTGTGTGTGTGCGCGTGTGTGTGTGTGTGTGTTGTGTGTGTGTGTGTGTGTGTGTGTGTGTGTGTGTGTGTGTGTGTGTGGTGTGTGTGTGTGTGTGTGTATGTGTATGTATGTGTGTGTCTGTGTGCGTGTGGTGTGTGTGTGTGCGTGTGCGTGTGAGTGGTGTGTGTGAGTGTGTGTGGTGTGTGTGTGTGTGGTGAAGTGTGATGTGTGTGTGATGTGTGTGTGTGTGTGTGTGTGTGTGTGTGTGTGTGTATGTGTGTTGTGTATGTGTGTGTGTTGTGGTGTGTGTGTGTGTGTGTGTGTGCGTGTGTGTGTGTGTGTGTGTGAGTGTGTGTGTGTGTGGTATGTGTATGTGTGCTGTGTGTGTGTGTGTGTGTTGTGCGTGTGAGTGATAGTTGTGTGTGCGTGTGAGTGTGAGTGTGTGTGTGAGTGTGTGTGAGTGTGTGTGTGAGTGTGTGTGGTGTGTGCTGTGTGTGTGTGTTGTGTGTGTGTGTGTGTGTGTCTGTGTGTGTGTGTGTGTGTGTGTGTGTGTGTGCGCGTGTGTGAGTGGTGTGTGTGGTGCGTGCGTGTGAGTGGTGTGTGTGTGTGCGTGCGTGTGAGTGGTGTGTGTGCGTGTGAGTGGTGTGTGTGTGCGTGTGAGTGGTGTGTGTGTGCGTGTGAGTGTGTGTGTGTGCGTGTGAGTGGTGTGTGTGTGCGTGTGAGTGACGTGCGTGTGCGTGTGAGTGTAGTGAGTGCGTGTGTGTGTGAGTGAGTGCGTGGTGCGTGTGTGACGTGTGTGGTGAGTGACGTGTGTGTGCGTGTGTGACGTGTGTGTGCGTGCGAGTGGTGTGTGTGTCGTGTGTGTGCGTGTGAGTGATGTGTATGCGTGTGGTGTGTATGGGTGTGTATGCGGTGCGGTGTGTATATGTGCGTGTTGTACTGTGCTGTGCGTATGCCGTTTGCAGTATGCAATAAGCATTATGCATTGGGCAATGTACAGCATGTAGTGTGTAATGTCTAGGCCCCCACGTGCGTGTGATATAACACCAAGAGAAGTTATTCAATATGCCGCATGTACATAACACGGGAAAATTGTCGATGGTCATAGCACTTACTATAATACGAAGGGCATCCTCATGAACACTCGCTTATAAATCTATGCAAGTCACAGCGGGAACAAAAAACGACTGGTTCCTTTACACCTTGAGAAAAAATTAGATATTCGTCGTTTGGTCCATTGCACTTATAATTATATTTCTAATCTTCATGAGAAAGGCTACACAGATGCAATTATCATTATCGTATCCCAGCAAAATTATGAACCCACTCTTTATAAATTCAGTTTCTCCACAGCAGTATAAGGTAAAATTTGCCTGTAATGATAATGAGAAAGCAGTGCAACGCGTCATACTTTGGCAGATAATGTAATTATATCATAACCAAAGAGAAAACTACTCCCTACTCAAAAACGAAGAAAATAGGTCACGATAAATGCTGCGCGGGTATAAGTGACCGGGAGGGGGGGGGGTACAGGGACGAGGCCCCCGATAAGAAAATACGGCGATCGGTTGGGGGTCTCTCCGGGTAGTATGATACCCTAACGTCTAGCAATTTTCTTACCACATTATTAAATGTCTTCGTGGATTGTTAAAGCGAAACTGCAAAGCCAATGGAAACCTTTACCATAACCTAACAAATTCATACGCGCAAGCACAAGTACAAGCATACAAATCGATGATAGGCCTATATATACACAAACAAACATGCATATACATATGCACGCAAACGTGCACAATCTTACAATAATGGTATTTTCAAAAGCTATACCTAATCGTTAATTAACCAATAATTACCCGTCACCAAACTTTTGCATACTAATGGCACAATAACCGAAATCTCATGGGCTAACTGCTACTCGGTGAAATAGTTTGCACTACATGTTTTAATTAACACAAATGTGAATCTGCAACACAACATCGCTCGTGAGGGCCTACATACACCACACGGACCCAAAGACTACTAACTGTTATCCGACTTGGCACCGACCTACCTCCTGGTGTGGGCCAGACCGAAGTCCGTGATCATGAGTCTGGAGTCCGTTCCCGGATGGTAATATAATAAGTTATCCGGCTTCAGATCCCTGTGAGTGATGCCTAGATTGTGCAAGTACTTCACGCCCTCCAGCACCATCTTGAGGACTTTGACCGCGTCCCTCTCCGAGAAAGGGCCTTTGGTCATGATTTTGTCAAAGAGGTCTCCCCCCGTGGCGAGTTCCATCACCATGTATATTTTATCCACACTCTCAAACACCTCCACTAGCTGTATAATATAGGGGCACTTCACACGCCGTAATATCGCCAGTTCGGCCTCGAACGCCTCTCGCCCTTCCTTGGACTCGATGATCTTGATGGCATATGGTTGTTTCGTGAGTCTGTTCTCGACCCGAACCACTTTGCTGAACGTCCCCTTGCCTATGAGTGCTTTGATGTCATATTTGGCCGTGATTCGCGGGTCGTACTTGGTTTTAAACTTGTTACTCTTGTTCAGTCTTTCGAGTTTGATTTTCTCTGCAAGGTTGTTTCCATCGTCAACCCTAAGTTCGCACTTGACTTCGGTTTCGGAAAGTCCTTCACTCCGACACTTCTCATCGCCAAACACATCCTCGAGATGGCACACAGTCTTGATATCACTGCTAGATACATTCTCCACCACTTTTTTGCTTTCTACACAACCCATGACGACCCTCCGAGCAAAAATACATGCTGCAGAACTCAATAACTCACAAAAGCAGGGAGAACGTCACACGACACCCACACTCTAGGCAAGACACTCATCCACTGACGGCAAGAGAGCCGAAGAGCCATTCAGTGAGTGCCTTTTCTGCGCTTTCTTAACCACCATTTGTCCCGCGCTAATTGTATCTGCGGCAGGTTAATGACGAGAAACAGGAGGGTTTAACCGATTAGTTTATTTGTAATTTAGACTTTGCCCTTGTTAACATGTATTTTTTACAAAACAATTTTCAATTTAACATCGTATGTACATTTTGATATAAGAACCGCTGCAAGATGGATTCTTAGCTAGCCAGATTAGAATATTAATTTTGATTGTTCCTAAGATATAAACAAATGACTGTAACTCATTTTAGTAAATAACTTATCACCCCAGTGTGATTTATTGCAAGACTAATGTTGTCCCGCTGCTCTCTTTCATGTTTGTAATAAGAATCTTAGATAATTTCTTCAGGGGCACAGTAAAATATAAAGTCGTGCAATATGACATGTAGACCGCAATTAAGAAAAAAGATAAAAACCATAGCAGGTGAAGAAAAGAAGAAATAATTATTTAGCAGAAGAGCCGTGTCCTTTGCCGATTAACCAATGAGCATCGAGCTTCAGATGACAACAATCCGGTCAGCCAATCAGCACTTGATCTCCCTCTGCGTCTGTGAAGGCCTCCGAAAGTTTTGACGGCTGACTTCGGTGATCTCTGCTCTTTCTTTGGACTTTATTATTTTTGCCGCATATCTAATGCATTACTAACGGAATATATTTTTCTATGTGTTTATTTTATCGAAAATGACCATTAAATGTCTGAAGCAATCCTGATGCCAGGCAAGAAATAAAACAATAAACAAAATGACAAAATCGGACAAATGATCAAGATAACCCACACCAACATGGCTGATGGAAGGAACACTTGTTTTGAATAGACCGATTTTAGCGTCTTAGTTCATCACCAAGAGCTTAAATATGTCTTGACTGGGTGAGTTAATATCATATCCTATATGGTGTAATAACATTTTAAAAGAATATCGCCCTGAAGCAACGGTAAATAGACCGTCAACAAGTGGTCTTGGCATTAGCACTCAAGAAGCCTCATAATATGCTTTTGTGACGAGATTATCAGGAACAGGAAGTATTTAGACTGGATTAGTGTATATCGTTATTTAGACCATTCATATTATCAGTGGCATAAAGGAAAGTGTCTTTGACACGTGGTTCCGGAATAGCCAAGACCGGGCTGAAGAGATGTGTAAGACAGACAGACAGAAAGGTAGGCCTATGACGAACATAAACGGATGTTTTGACTCATAATAAGCAAGCCCTAATTCAGTTTATCATTTTAATCACGTATCCGTAGATTTACCCGTATGTTGATTGCCATACTAGTGTTTTCTAGAATAGACAAGAAGCCATTCCGATTGTATAAAATTTGGTTAGTGACTGTGTCACAAAATACCACCAGAAGCATTATATATATTTATTTCTTCATTTCTTATTAAGTCAATTTCAAGTAATGTTTTAAGAACAGAATAGAGAAAGTTTTTATTCAACTCTACTTGGGAATTCATAAGCTATTGTTTAGTGTAATGAAAGCAGTGGTGCTGTCTGATGAAGTACTTAAAGAGTGAACTCTTGCAATATATCAAGAGTGATTTACTGCATTATGATGTGTCTCCTTTTTTTCTTTTTCTTTTTCTCTTTTACTAAATTCAGGACAGTGTTGGAATTGTATATTTCATATCATTTCATAAACTTGATTAAATATAACTTTTAGTCTGTCTACTACCCCTTCAGAAAAGAGTAGTAGAAATGTAGGTAATTTTGCAGAATACCTCTTTTGGTGTCTATGGATTCCTCTCACTCTTTATTATCCAAGTATTTTGAAATTATGCCATGGAATCCCCCATTAGTTACAATCTTAGCCCCAATAGTAGGGGAGGGTATGAAAGGTACCAGGGGAATTACGGGGGTAAAATGTGACGAACATATACAAAATCAGTCCCTTATATTGTCTCAGGGAGCTGTGCCCCCTGCAATCCCCTTCCTAGGGTTTAACCACCTCCCAATTCCCACAATGGAAGACAAAGAATCCTCTATGTATTTATGACAAGAGTAGAGCACACAACCAAAATGCAGGAGCGATGAGGGCAGAGCGTATGATCGACATGAAGATTCGACATAAACGAGGGACTGATCCTGAGTCTGTCTGACACTCTCTCCTGCCATGAATACTTGGAGGATTCTTTGTTTTTATGGTCAGAGGCTGGGGGGTTTCAGCCCTCATAGGGGGATTGCAGGGGTTGTGCCCCTGACATTTAACCTTATAGTGACTGATTCTGTGAATATTATTCATATTTTGCCCCTTAATTTCCGTGCTACCTTTCATGCCCTCCCTTGATATCAGAGCCAAGAATGTGGGGGTTCAGCAGCATAATTCCTTCATATATGTGTACTAGAGGATGATAGGATATCTATTGATATCATTAAACGGTACTTCAAAGGCATTCCATAAAATTACCGAAATGTAAACATGAATAGATGTTTGCTTTAAGTCTATATCTAAGGAACCTCTGGAATGGTGATAAACAGATAAACCTGAATTTTAAAAGAGTTGACCATCAAAAAAATTACCAAATTCCTCCAGTTATGAGTTCTATTATTTGTTAGAAAATATTCATATATAGATGGCATATAGATTCTTAGCTATATATTTCTTTGATAGTTACTCTATATTTATTTTTCTTTGATAGCTTAAATTATTAATTTCAAATTTTAATTATTAAATAACTACAAATATTTATTCTCTAGAATTTTTCATAGCATTAATTAATATTTTTATTTATAACACATCTTTTAAAATTCATGTAGACTGAAATTATGGGATTACTGAATTAATTTTTTTTAATTATTTTTTGGAGATATTGGGACTTGCCAGATACATAAATGCTAGGTGGTTAGTGAGTGAGGTATCTACATTTGTTATTTCCCATTTTTATTAAGTTAAGCATTATTTTATGATAACACTAATGTGATGATCTTATTATGAACTGGTTGTAATATCACCTATAAGATTAGGTTCTGTTTCTTGGTATCACAATACTGTTTTCAAAAAAAAAGCATACTTTTATAACCACTGATTTTCTATCAGCTTTTGAGAAGCAAATTAAGATAATTTTGGGTAAAAATACCTAAAGCTTGCAGAATTAGAAATCTGTCTTGAGCTTAGATAAATGATTAAGAATTGTAAATGAACCTAGCTGCTATTTTCTTTACCTGTTGTGGCAGTTTTTCATATTATATATAATATATATACTTTTCATGTAATGCTTTACAGTGTATTGTAAATATTGTTTACTCATTTTGTATCATACCAGTTGGCAGATATATCCAGCTTGTTGGCAAGTTTAGTCTGAATGATGTAGTAAAGCCAATCCTAGTGTCTAAGTTTGTTGAATGCATCATCTCGGGCAAATCTTTAGAGTTAGTACTGCCGTAAGACTCATTATGAAGGATTTTTTTTTTCTTTCTTTCTTTTCTTTTCTTTTCTTTTCTTTTAAGAAAACTAATTTATAAAAGGTCAGAGATGGAAGGGGTTGCCTGAAGGTGAGTTGGGTGCCAAATGTGAATCATTAAATGCCAGTCTGTATGATTATTGTGTTATTATTACCTGTAATTAATCATCATGACAGGGATTGCAGTATGCTGTGTATATATATGATGTGTTTTCAAGTTGCATAGGAGCATTACCATAAGCTTTGCAATTTATAGCTGGTTTGGACATTACTTTGGTAGGGATTTTGCATAGGAGTATTACCATAAGCTTTGCAATTTATTGCTGGTTTGGCCAGTATTTTGGTAGGGATTTTGCACCTTTCTGTGTTTTGAGATATAATATGTCTGCATATTTGCTATTCCACAGGCAACAGTACCAGACTAAGCAAGACACATAACTGTAATTCAGGATGCCATAACTGTTACCACATAGTTGCTTATAAACCCATTTTGATCAAAATTATCCACCCTTAAATAAATTTATACATGCAAAAGTTGGCAATTTACTGAAAGGTACATTAATTGATCAAGTATTGGTAGTATCTAGATACTCTTGAGCAAGGTCCTGTTACATATTAATAGGATGTGACAGCTTGAAGGACAAGAACAAGTGGTACATAGCCCATTAATATTTGCTGAACAAATTTGTCGTGAACCAAGTGTTTATGGTTTTATTATTATTACTGTTGTAGATAAGATACTTGATAGCTGA